TCACTCTTTTATTTTTTCTTTCTGTCTGTCTGTTTGTCTGCTTGTTTGTCTCTCTCACAAAGCAATTTAGGAGTGTGAGTCAGTGGTGTTGTGGGTCGTGCTGGAGGACCACTGTCTGATTCTCATCACGAGTCGTCCTTCATGTGTAAGTGATACGCCAATGGGAAGGGGGGAGGGAGGGGTGAGAGCGGAGGGAGGGGGAGGCGGAGGGAAGGGGATGAGGCAGAGTGAAGGGGATGAGGCAGAGTGAAAGGGATGAGGCAGAAGGGAGGAGAGATGTGAAGTGGAGGAGATATAGGAGGAGAGGGGTGACAAGAGGAGGGACAGGGAGGGAAAGGCAGGAGAGGAGAGAGAAGGGGAGAAGCAGGAGAGGGGGAGAAGAAGAAAGGGAAAGCCGGTGTTGTTTGGCGAGGGGGATGATAAAGTTGTGGTGGAGGAAGGGGATGAGGTTGGTGGTGCAGGTGAAGGGGCTGGTGTTGGTGTAGGAGGGAAGAGATTTGTGTTGGTGGACCGTGAAGAGGCTGGTGGTGGAGGTGGTGATTGGGGAGGAGTCAGAGGGAGGGGGTTAGTGGAAGAGGTGGGAGTGAGGAGGAGGAGGATGAGGGGGGGGGGACATGGTGATGGCGGTAGCGGTGACTGTGAAGGTGTTATTGCTTTTTGTTGTCAAAGAGTTGTGCGGCTGCCATACAGATCAGTGTCATCTGCAAACAGAATGTATCTTACAGGCGCGCTGCGATGGGCTATGTCATTGATATACAGTGTTTGTGATACAGCGACAGCGAGGTTGTCTCTCACCTTTGCATTCTTAGTTCGATCTCAGGGTTAGATGTGAGAAGAGTATTGCGCAGTGTGACGCTACCAAACTAGGCGGGTTTTCTCCGGGTACTTCCGTTTCCTCCTGTACAAACACTGAACCCATGAAAGATTAACTCAGCAGGAATAATGAGGGGATTAAATAAGCCGCTGTCTTACTTTATCTATTAAGGGAGAAAATAAGAAATAATATATAAATTATAAAGCCCAAGAAAGGAACTTTACAGGCGAAGGGTCAGACCGATAGTCATATAACTGTGTGCAAAATACTTGTTGGATGAATCTCTACTCCGAAGTGCTTTGGTGGTGTCAGTAAATGGTGTGGTGGGCGGTATCAAAGGTTTCTCTGAGGTCTACGAATACTCCGACGGTGTATTGAATACCACCAAAAAGGTTCCTAAAATTATTGGTGCAAAACTCTAAGACACTTTCCATGGACTAAACTGACCATAACACCAACCTAGGTTTCTAGAATAATGTTAATGTTACATGAGAGAGATTCTGCTCTGCCACGTGTGAGCTTTTCAATTGTTTCATTTAAGGAGACATCACCGATACAACATGGCCATTGTTGTCGCCTTACCTGGATATAGATTGTGTATCAGCAATTTTCAAGTTATCTGGAGTGATACGCTGGTAAATGAGGAATTAAAATCTACTCTTACAATAGACGGATTTAGCAACACTTGCGTTCATCTCTTGCAAAACCTTTGAAAAACCTGATCATAAGTTAAACTAAATTTTGAATTTTTTTTTTTAACTTCTTTCGTTGTTATCTTTGATTGTCTCTCATTATCAAAGGCTGTGAGAGAAATAACATGTTGTAAGTTTTTTCTCGGAGTTCTTCCCGTTGACATTATATCCACTGTAATACAAGGTGTCTCAAAAAATGTAAACAGTTACCTTACAGATTTTCTTGGAGATCGCGTGAATGCTTGTACCATCATCAACTTTGTTCTCACTTGTGGGAGACCTCGAACATCAACAAGTACTCATACGATCTCCACGGAGACCTTTAGAGCAGTGTGTATACATTTTTCTGAGACACACTATATATCCATGAACACTTACTGGCCTTTGAAATTATCTCAAATAAAATAGTTTTTACTTATCACTGTCATAAAGAACACCACCTCAAGACACGTGGTCAGAGTATGTAAACATTGTCACAAACTCTTGATCGCCGTACTCTTCTCCATTATTTGCATACCCGCACTGCCTATATACATTGTTTGCTTACTGGTGCTGTATAAGCGCATTGTTTATATACTGTATATGCAATTTATATATAGTGCCTTTGCTTGTATACCTGAATTGTCTATGTAAGTGCATGCTGAATCAATGTGATCATACATGCCGATTTTGCTGCTTAACTATCTATCTATCTATCTATCTATCTATCTATCTATCTATAAGAGTTCCACACAGAACTATAAAGGTATCTAGATGTAACAGCACGCTGCCAACATTACAGTCCATTATTAAGACATTGTCGATGGCAGGTGTACAGAACTAATCACAGGTATGTTGAACTAATCTCAGGTGTGTTGAGAAAGTAATAGTTGCAATCTAGGTTGACTTAACAGATGGAATTTTGTAGGTAATTATCAGGATCAACATAGGAGAGCTGTGTTATTGTTGTGTCAAGAGAGATTGAAGAACATATTGTGAAGAATATCGAGGAGAATAACAGTCATCAGTCCGAAAGCAGTGGTAATGATTAAAGAACAGCTGGAACTCTGGCTTTGCAATGGTGGTTCTTGTTGTGGTTATCGTGGTTGCTGTGGTTGTTTCTGATATTGTGGTAGTGGTGGGTGTTAGGTGTTATAATTATATTGGCTTGAAGGTGTAGTGGTGGTGATGGTGGTTGTGGCTGTGGTGGCGGTGCTTGTAGAGGTGATTACTGATAATGAATTAGTGGTGAATGTGGGGAAAATAAATTGAAGGTGATGATTGTTATGTCGGTCACAAAAATTCAAGAAACAGCCACAGATGTAAAAGAAGAAAATATGAAATATAGAAAGGCATATTTACCAGTTGATGTAAAAAAGGACAAAGTAAAGCTAAATGTAGAGGAAAAAATACATTCTTTCGTAAATAAAGTCTCACATCTCTCCTGCCTTCCTACGTATCTTAAAAAAAGAGAACTTAAAGATATTTTGACTCAGCAGGTGCGGAGGTCAACATAAATCGACAACAGGAGAAATCTTCTGAAACAAAATTAAAATGTTTTCCTCTCGTGCACGTCAACACTTGTGTAATTAACGCTTCAACACCTGTTCCCTGCAGCTTAAATTCAAAATTTATACAGTTGGCAGTAATATTTCTATAATTCCTTTAACAACGCTTCATATTTCACGAAAATTTTAGTTGTTTCAGTAAATTTTATGAACGTCTTATATTGAGTGTTTACTACTTGCTTGTGGTTAGTTTCTTACTCAACACCTTAACAATTCCACGTTAGATTCATCTTTTAGGATGTTTCTTGCCACCTTCCTCGCTTCTTAACCCCTGAGGGAAAGAAATCAAACGAGCAATTACCCGGAATAAATGACATTACCGGGAATAAATTACATTTATTTTCCCCCCACTTAAACTTCTCTCTTCTTCCACACATGAGGCTGCGGGAGACGATCACCCACGGTTTACCACACAACTTGGGCGAGTTTTCACAGTGCTTAGTTCCTGGCTGAGGGTCACCCCCCACCAAGGTGAACGATTCATCTGTATTCACCTCTCGGGGAGCTCCTCTCTGTTCTTCTCCTTGATTCATAATCTTTCATGTAGGGTGTTGTTGTACCCTTCCCTTCCTCTCCTGTCCCATCCTTTTTTTATTCCATCTTTCTCACTTCTCTATTTGTACTTAAATATGCCTCTAAAAATAACCTCCGTCCCACTGCCCCCGATACTGGGAGGAAGATCGTCTACGCTAAGAGATCGTGGGAAGTAACATACTTTTTTTTATAATAGTTACACTGGGATGGTCCTATTCCTTCTCGGCCCAGCATTCACTGTGAGGTCCATGGGTTATAGAGACAGATACGAGGGGCGTGACCACGTCCTCCCTCCACCACCATCATCCCCCCTCCTCCACCATCAACCCACCCATGCTTCTCCGCCCTCCACCACCATCACCCCCTCCCCATGCTCCTCCTCCACCGCTCCACCACCACCCCCTCCCCATGTCCCCCTCGCTCCACCCCCATCACCCTCCTATGATCCCCCTACCTCCTCCACCCTTTCCTTAACTTGCCCGCGCAGTGGTGTGGAAAGGTTATAGCCAGGGAGGACAGTTCTAAGAGGCCATACCCTCCCCCCTCCCCCTCCCTCCTATTTCCCTTGCATTGGTCTGTGGGAAGACATAGCACAAGGGTTCCATCCCACCGTCGGGACTTCCCACGGGTATACACTGAAGAAGACCATCACTATTAGAGTCCCTTGTCCCTTCTTTTCACCTCTGTTACATTGTTCACTATCAGGGGAGGATCAACTGCGAATTGTTCCTCACTTTTCTTTTACTCTTCTCCTCGTACACTGCGTATCTGGTAGCGTAGGAATGATAAAGCTTGTTGAATGATGTCCCATGATTTATATCGCACTGTGAATCACCTTACTTAACCTGAACTAACCAAACCCAAAATCCCTTCGGTAAAGTTAAGGTGTTTCATCATCATCAGGTGAAATAAAATGTGGTAGCTAATCTTCAGGTTGGATAAGTTTAGGTTTAGGAGGGAGATAGGAAGAAACTGGTTCACAAATAGGGAGGTGAACGAGTGGAACAAGCTTAGCAACTTTGTAGTAAGTGCGGGAACTCTGGAAAGTTTCAAAAGGAGGCTAGATAGATTCATGGATGATAGAGAGTGGTAGTAACTCTCGACAGGAGCTGCCATGCACAGGCCAACCGGCCTATTGCAGACTCCTTATTTTCTTATGTTCTTATGTAAGAAATAAGTCACACGTACAGTACTTCTCTGGGTCTTGCTCACACTCCCTTCCACTTCCCCCTCACCATACACAGGGAAAGGATGTTAGATAAGAGCAACACTCCTACCCAACCTCTCTCTCTTTTTCACCCTACTGTGAGGAGAGTAGGAAGGGTTCAGGAGGGGGGAGGGAATTAAGATTACGCTATACCTGAAGACTCAGGACGGTTCCATTATAAGATGACGTGACGATTGTGCTAATAGGTGTTGAAACTATTTGGGATTGTTGCTGACCCTCCTGACGAGATCATCCCTCGGGCGGCTCTTGAGGAATGTGTCCTCGAGGGTGAAAAATGTTTCGACTTTTTACTTTCCTGTAAGGTCATCGACGCCTGTATAGATTCTCCATAATGGTGTTTGTTTACATTTTTCTATAAATAAAATCGATTACAGCTTACTTAACTTATTCTAGTTTAATTTTTTTTAACTGTTTCGAATAAGAAAATCAACCATATATTTTGGTTTATTTTCACGTGTAAACACTCAACAGGCATGAAAGATACAAACCGGCGTCACAAGGAAGATTTGCTACACCCGCTCGCCTGAATCAACCCGGAATGAGCATATACCACCGCTCGTTTAATCTCTCTCCCTACAGCGGCCAAGCCAAGCTAAAAGAAAGCTCTTACGCAAATCAACCCGACTGTTCCTTTAGCCCCTATCCCCGTAGAGCCCTTTGGATGTGAATACACTTCCCAAAATGTACACCCCCCCCCCAGCCACTTTGTACCATGCCTTGTCGCCAGCTGCCTGAGTGGGGATGATCTTATCCAGAGGTTTTCACCTGGTCTGGGCACACTGTCAGTGCCCCTCTCAGACACAGTTGCCAGCGGCTCCACCAAACAACATTCTACTTCACGTATATCATCAGCGTTTAAACTTTATTGCTCATCTTGAATCATTTATAATTTTACAGCATACACTTTACATTATTGGCCATATTTCTCGGATGAAAGTTACTTTGGTGAATGAGAGAATAAAGAGAAAATAGAAAAATTAAATAAAGAGTAGAGTGAGTGAGGCGCAGGGTCGAGCGGGCGAGGGTGTGCGTTCCTCCCTCGGCCCGATAAGGTGGCCAAGGCACAATAGGACCCCGGAATGCACAGATTACATCGGATTTGTCCGCCCCATAGGTCACTCCAGCAGTGGAGTGGCGCCCACGACCGCTGGTGGTGGTAGTGGCGGTTGGGTCCTGTTGGGGGTGGGGGCGGGGACCTGTTGAGGTAGTGTTGGTGATGGGAAATACCTGTTGAAGTAGTGGAGGAGGTGGTGAATAGTGGCAGTGATTGCGATGATAGTGGTGGTGGCAGTATCGTTGGTGATGGTGGAGGAGGTGGTGATCAATGGTGATGCCTATGGTAAATGTGGTGGTTAAGGTGATGGATGTGGTGGTTATAGTGGTAGAGGCGAATATCCTATATCATTACTGACAAATGTAAAACTATTATCAAATTAGAACACACAGAGGTTAGTAACCAACCCTTGTTCTTGTTATCACTGTTAGTTAGGGATGCTTCGTAAGGTATATGGGTAGATGATCTTGCTATCATTTCGATTGGTGAAGGATTGTGAAATAGCTACGGTGAATAGTGAAAAACTAAACCACTATCAATGGCAAAACCAAAATTTCAGTTTTTATTGTTTGAACGGGCTTGATGATGCTGTGTGTGGGTGTATCAAGTGTGCAGTGCGGTAGTGTGGTAGTGTGCGTTTATGTAGTGTGGTAGTGTGGGTGTATTTAGTGTGTATCGTTGATGTATCTAGTGTGTAGTTTGGTAGTGTGGGTGTATTTAATATGTGTGGTGTAGAGGTGTGGTGTGTAGCTAGCGTGTGGTGTAGCGTGGGTGTTGCTAGACTGTGCCGTGCAGGTGTGCAGGCGTGGGTGTGCATGAGAACATTCTACTAAAGACAGCTCAAGGAATACAACTTCATACAGCAGCTAAGCCATACCTGATACTCGGCTTGAGAGATAAGAGTATATCCAAAAACATTCGATATAAGTACAGATTTAGGTATATAGTGTAGGTAGAGTAAGTTCCATATAGTGGCAGTATATTATAGATGGAATAATATATTAACTTTGACAAACAGTGAAGGAGCTTAACCAATCGTTGCTTTTTGTTTACGTATCTTATATACTTCGAAAAAATCTAATGTCTTATCACACATATTCTGGGTTTTTTTTCAATGCAATTCCAGTGAGAGATACTTCGACACTTAGTATTGGTGATGGTTATTTTAGTTCTTGGGAAGTTTTGGGTAACAAGAAATGTTCGCAGCATTCATGAACTTAAGAGGAATCCCAGGATAAAGTGGCCAGAGATGGTGTCTGGGGGGAAAGTTTTGGCTCTTTATAGCGAGCGTGGATGGCTGCTGAATGCTATTAAAAGTTTGTACAGGAAAGCAACGAGTGCATGAGAGTGGCTGGTGTGATGGGTGAGTAGTGTGTGATGTATATACGCGGTGGTGGTGTTGATGGTGTTGGTGGTATTGTTAGTGTAGGTGGAGGTACTGGTAATGTAGGTGGAGTTGGTGGTGGTGGTGTTGGTGGTGGTGGTGTTGAAGGTGGTGTTGGTGGTGGTGTTGATGGTGGTGGTGGTGTTGATGGTGGAGGTGGTATTGTTAGTGTAGGTGGTGGTACTGGTAATGTAGGTGGAGTTGGTGGTGGTGGTGTTGGTGGTGGTGGTGTTGAAGGTGGTGTTGGTGGTGGTGTTGATGGTGGTGGTGGTGTTGATGGTGGTGGTGGTGTTGGAGGTCGTGTTGTTGTTGGTGGTGGTGGTGTTGGAGTTTAGGTTAGGTTAGATTAGTTACTTTAGGTTAGGTAAGGTTAGTGTAAGTTATGTTAGCTTAGCTTAGGTTAAGATAAATAAGCTAATCGTCATGTGATTCAATTTTAATCTCTTTGTAACAAGTCACTTGGTCATACGATTGATAATTTGCAGACGAAAGTGTGTATGTTTTGACTGTGCTGTGTCTGTATGTTATGCCCGTGCTTTGTATCTAACGTATTCTATGTATGTATGTATGTATGTATGTATGTATGTATGTATGCATGTATGTATGTATGTAATGTTCAGCAAGCTTGCCTCGCAAGCGAGTGAACCCAGGTTCGATCCCCGGGCAGGGTGAAACTATGGGTAAGTTTCTTTACACCATTTGCCTCTGTCTACCCAACAGTAATTGGGGACTTGGATGTTAATCGATTTGCGAATCGTATTCCGGGGTAATGGTTAGCCAATGCAGTTGGCGAGCTGTCCTAGTCTTCTCGGACTGTATCATGCAGCTCGTTAACTTAGGGTGTGGTTGTTGTGTTGGCGACACTTTCTACACCTTAACAAATTCACGCCTCGGAGGCCCTTGGGCCGGCCATCCTCGATTTCGAGGGGCTTCCATTATGTATGTATGGTTTATCAGTCTGTATTTTGCATCTATATATATATATATATATATATATATATATATATATATATATATATATATATATATATATATATATATATATATATATACTGTACATGTGCGTATGTGTGTATGTTGCATGTGTACTGTATGTTACGTTTGTATGTCGTGTGCATGTTGTGGCTGGAGATAGTATATATCTTGTCAGTGTGTGTGTGTGTGTGTATCTATCTATAAGGAGCATTTAGTGCACACGGGAATGTATTATACAACGTAGCTCTTATGTTGCAATTTGTACGACGTGATGTATGTATACACACACATGTTTATTGTGTATTTAGAGGAATGCGTATATCATGTCATTATACGCACTGCGGTAACGTTTGTCTCTCGAACTTTGCATATACGCTGGAGACTTACTTAGGGTCAAAATTTTACATACGCGTGGATGTTTATGTGGTGTGGTAAATTAGACGTCATACGTTGAGTTTTACGCAGGGGTCGAAATTGACGCGAGTCGAAAATTGTAGATTAATCGAGAAAGTGATTACGCACAGTACAAGGATGTTACTCGATACTTAAAGTAGAGATCTGTGTGAGAGGCTTGGTAGGGCAGTGTTGGCCAGCTATCAACACAGACACTTCGTATAACACTCAGTTCTAGGGTTGTCTCACGGCTACAACTCACATCACTCACAACAACTATTTCCTCACTGTAAAAGGTCAACACCCCTTTACCTAACTTCTCTACCAATCAGGGTTCATTCATCCCTTGTCAATGTATCATGTGACCACGTTTTCATCACCCATTGTACCGAGTTGCTACATAGATCATAGCTTGTCTTACTTGTTGTCAAATACTTGTCTCCGAGATGATCGCATTACATCAAGTTGCAGCTACAGTAGCTACGTCCTAATTATGCAATTGCACCAAGTTTAGAATTGCTACACTGATGTTGTATGCATGTTAAGGAATTTTGTTATTATTGTGAAAACAATTATAAACCTCAAAAAGTACATTTATCCAATTCCCGAAAAAGAAACATTATTATTATTATTATTATTATTATTATTATTATTATTATTATTATTATTATTATTATCATCGTTATCGTCATCGTCATCGTCATCGTCGTCGTCATCATCATCATCATCATCATCATTATTATTATTATTATTATTATTATTATTTAGTGATTTTAGTATTAGTAATTAACTACATAATCTTGACATAATGCACAAACAACCATTCTCTTCACTGTTGCCTTAACATCTCTTTTACTAACTCAACCATCCCTTACAAAAACTTTCCCATACAACACTTTCCTTCCCTCTGTACTCAACATCTAATACGCCCCTCCCAGAGTTTTAAACTACCCAGCACTGTGTCAAATGATATTCTGGTAAGGTTCTCATTTGGTGCCACGCTTGATGCTCATTTGACCCTGGAGCTGCTGATCCTACCTGCCATTACGCAAAGCACCTGTCATTTACCTGTATCCTGAGGCTTTGTTTATTTCTTCTTTTATTTTTTTTTCACTCTTAATTTCCTCTGGTGTAAATAGTATTCTTTTGTTTTCAGTAGTTTTGAGTTTTTTTTTTATTATTCAGTCTGCTTATTTAGATTTTAGCTTAACCTCTTCGTCTACCTTTATCTTTATATCTCTTCCTCTCTTACGTTATCCTCACTAAATCTTATTACTTATTCTAATATAAAACCCCCAAAACAAGTTATTAATACCTTTTTTCAACCTCATTTAGTAAACTCAGACATATTCAGTCTATAAAAGCGCAAGCTGACCACAGGGCGTATGAGTTAGTGATGCAAGAGTATGGTGTATGATAGAAGATAATACAGGTAATAGATTCGTCGGGTCCCCTAAAGATTAGACACACCAGTTTGCTTTACCCAACTTAACCTAAAGCCAAGCTAACCTGATCTAACTAGTAAG